TTGCTCTTGACCACCATGTCATCAACGTACGCCTCCACATTCCTTCCAATCAAGTTAGCAAAGACTTTGTTGATGAGTCTTTGGTATGTTGCCCCTGCATTCTTCAAACCGAAAGGCATGACCTTATAACAGTATATGGCGGAATCGGCCATGAATGATGTCTTTTCTTGATCTTCTTCGGCCATGAGGATTTGATGATAACCAGAAAATGCATCCAAGAAGCTGTACAACTTATGTCCGGACGTGCTATCCACCAAGTTGTCAATCCGTGGTAGGGGATAACTATCTTTCGAACATGCTTTGTTAAGATCTGTGAAGTCAATGCAGACCCTCCACTTACCATTGGCCTTCTTTACTAAAACAACATTGGCGAGCCAATCGGGATATTGGACCTCCCGAATGAATTGAGCGCTGACGAGTTTGTTAATCTCTTCGCGAATGACCTCCCGTCGTTCTGGGGCAAACTGCCTTTTCCTCTGCTTTACTGGTCTGGCTCCTGGGCTAATGTTAAGCCTATGGACTGCAATTTTAGGGTCTATCCCTGACATATCCTCAACCTTCCAGGAAAAAACGTCAATGTTGCGAGATAAGCAACTAACAAGTTCTGTTTTCAGGGTGACGTCAAGATCCCGACCAATCGTCACCTTCTTATCATGCTCGAGCTCAATTTCCATCAATTCTTCGACAGGAGCAAGTCTGACTTGTTGCCCATCCTCGAGATCCATCCTCGAGATTTGCATGACGTCGTTATTTATTTCCCGAACACTGGCAACGTAGCACTGTCTGGCAGCTGTCTGGTCTCCACGGACAACCCCAACGCCATTACTCGTTGGAAACTTCATGGCTAGGTGGAAGGTGGACACAATGGCTTTAATTTTGTTCAGGAGTGGTCTTCCCAGAATTGCGTTATAGGCCATTGAGACACGTACCACTTGAAAAGATGTCATCTCTGTAACCTGTTTCTGGCCAGAACCCAACGTTAGTGGAAGCTCAACTATTCCCTCTGGAGTGATGACTCCTCCACCAAACCCCTGGAGAGGAGTTTTAACCGCTTTGAGTTGGGGAGAGGGGATTCCCATTTTGGCAAAAGCTTCTTGTGAAAGTATATTGGCCGCACTCCCGTTGTCAACCAAGATCCTCTTTACTTCAAAATTGGCCACAATCGCTGAGATTACCAAGGCGTCATCATGTGGAAGTGATACGCCTTCTAAGTCTCCGGTCCCAAAAGTAATATCCTCCAGTTTTCCCTGAGGCATACCAGAGGCCAAGGCATTTCGCCGGGCATATTGTTTTCTTCCACTGTTGGAGTCTCCTCCCGAGGCAATACCTCCAATGATGATATTGATGGTTCCAGCAGTGGGTTGACCATCCCTCTTTGCCTCAGGGTCTTTTTCCCTGCCACGATCATTCCTCGGGCGTTTGTCGTTACCGACGTAGGAGCTCAGGAGTCCTCTTTTAATAAGGGCTTCAATCTCCCGTTGCAGGGCCTTACAGTTCTCCGTGGTATGCCCGTGATCCCGATGGAACTCACAGTACTTGTTCATGTCCCTGGATTCGGGTGGTGACCTCATTCTGACAGGCCATTTCAGTTCCTTCATATCCTTGATCTCCATCAATATATTGGTCTTTGACGTATTTAAACGCGTGAACGGCGTCGGGGGAACCTCCTGTCTCTGTTTTCTCCGATGCTGTTCTTCACGAGGGTTCGGGTCATGCTGTCTTTTATGCTCGACCCTGTCATGGGATGGTCCAACCTTTCTCGGATTCAGTGTTTCCTCCATATTTATGTACTTCTCGGCTCGTGTAAGAAGCTCGGTCACTGTTTTTGGCGGTGTTTTGGATAAAGACATCTTGAAGGCCTCACACTTTATGGCATATGTGAGGGCAGAAACCGCTGCAGTTATGTGTAGGTCGGGAATCTGAAGTCTTTCCTTGTTGAACCTGGTCATGAAGTCACGTAAGGTCTCATTTTGCCCCTGTCTAAGTTGCATGAGGGAAGCCGCTGTCTTCCTGATGCGTTTGCTGCTTGCGAAGAAAGCGGAGAACTTGTCCGCCAAATCCGAGAATGAGGCTATGGAGTTGGACTCTAAGGTTGAGAACCAATCCCTAGCGGCATTTGTCAAGGTTTGCGGGAAGGCCTTGCACATCACCTGATCTGGCGCGACCTGTAAATTCATGACGTCCGTGTATATGTTCAGGAAAAATCTATTTTCGAAATGATTGGTATAAATATTACTTTATCTACCAATTTTATATATATAGCATGACTCCAACTTTTAGGAGCAGTTAATCATTAGTTTGATTGATTAATGTGGAAGTGAAGATAGAGCATCAACTCACTTGCAATGAATGTTACATACTATGTATATTATACACACTTGTCCCTCGTTACGATCCCTCTAGACATTGTTTTAATATTAATGTTAATTGAATTGTGCCTGAATCGACCTGTCTTGAAATATTTCAAGCACCCCAACGTCACAACGCTGTGCAGTCCAGCACCCTAATGTCAACTGGTCAATCGAGCATCAGCCATAAAACCCCCCTGGGGTGCTGGTGTAGGTGACGGATGCGAGTTTCTTTGACTTAGCAGTTGAGTCAGTGTTGCGACCTGTTGCCTGAGCTCTTCAAAGGCTCCAGCAGTGACGACTGCCGGCTGGGGCTCCGGCACTTCTGATGATTCCTCTTGAGGAACAGGGATATCCTCAGGAGGGTGTTGGTTTGGAGCGGATGAGCTTGCTGGTGGAAGACCTGAACGTGTGTTTACCATGGCTTTTGGTAGCGATTCCCACAAACGGCGCCAATGATGCTACCAAAAGTCGTACCTGTAGATTTCCCGAACTTGATGACTGATGATGAGCACGAACGTGATCTTCCGATACCTGAAACAAAGGCAACGAGGTATGTTCTCGTCGCCCCTCCGATGCTTAAGTCAGAAAGGGAAATATATGCGTGAGGCTATGTGCTGAAGAACAATGTAAAACGTACGTGAATAATGGTTCAAGGTCCTGTATTTATAGGGGTAGGTAGTGTGTTCATATTAGGATTCCGCATTGCACCTGTAGTAGGACAGCTTGATTTTGCAATTTTATACCAATGAGTCCTGCGCGAGACAGGAGTTTGAATTGTGGTATAATTGTGATACCAATAGAGTTCTTCTGGGCATAGGAGACATAGATTAAGGATACTTAGTCAGAATAAATCTCTCGTTGGACAAGGCGCTGTCGTAGGTCATAATCCCGAGGACATATTCCCGAGGACATGCCGAATGATTGTGTAATAAATCTTCGGGTTATTAGCCCGGGCACACATGATACCCGAGCACATATGTCCCGAGCATTTTGGTGCACATACTGACGAAATTGAGTCCTCGGTCTATATTCGTCGGGACACAATACTCGGTAATATCATTGGCCCCCGTGCACCTGTGCTCGATAATATGCACGAGGATAGGTGCAAAAAGGTCCTAGTTATAGTCCTCGGTATAGAGCCTCTGACGATTCAATACTGAGGAAGGACTCCTGAGGGCTGACGTCAGATGTGGTAATGACGCCAGCCCTAGTAGAAAGGCGGTGTAATTTTTAGACCGTGGGATGTAGGACACGTGGCATGATCGAACGGTTCAGGATGCGACCTTTGGGCTCCCACCCATGTTTCCCTATATAAGCCTCCATTCCTATTCATTTTTTACTTTTTTACTATCAGTAAACCTTGTCGGAATCGTCGGGATAAGGTGAGTCCTCAAGTCTTTAAGTTAATTTTTAAGAAAAGTCTATATTTAGGGTAGGATGTCGAGTAGTGATAGCGATACGTCATCCTCGAGTTCGGGAACACCAACCGAGGACTTAGGGCAGTCGATAATACCTATGGCCGTCCCCATAAGTGCGAATCCTCGAGCCCAGGATATCCCGACCCCACTAGTGTACCCCGACCACCCTTGTAGGTTTAAGGAGCACTTAGCCGTGGCGACTGCTAGGGAATTCGGCCTGATGCCGAACTGTGATATTAGGTCTCCTGGTAATGAGGATAGGGTAGCTATTGCTCGGGAGGGAGAGTTCGTCATTTTCAAGGATTCTTTAAAGGGGGGATTTAGGTGGCCATTGCACCCCTTTTTCCTCGCGCTCTTGACCGAGTATAACATGAGCCCGGGGCAGTTAGTGTCGAATGGGTGGAGGATGTTGACTTACTTCTTTATAGCTTGTAGATACCTCGGGATTATCCCATACGTCGACTTATGTAGGATGGTCTTCGACCTAAAACAACTCCCCCAGTATTCTTGTTTTGCTTACCTCTCAACTCGAGGAGGGTTTAGAATCCCGAGGATGCCTAGTTCCCTGAAGGGGTGGAAGGATAAGTGGTTCTACGCTATACCTCAAGATCCCGACGTTCCCTTTAGTCCTCGGTGGGGGGTTCCTGATACTGCTAGGTTTTGTGGGGGTCAGGCATACTTTGAATCGTTGGAGAGGCATAGGCAAATGCTAGAGGAGCTCGAGCCCCTCGTTTATGACTTGGATGATATCCTCGGGGATGATATCCTCGAGCTTGCAAACATGAAAGAAATCGAGGGTAGGATATGTGAACTTGACGCTTAAAATCCCGATCTGTATTCTTGCTATGCTCGTGCTAATTACATGTAATTTTTTATCTTTGCAGAAATGACGTTTGATCCAAGTGCCCTTCGTCGGGCAGTGAACAAAAAGTCCAAGGCTCCCCAGGCCCGGGCTCCCGACCAGAGGAGGGGCCAAAAGAGACCTCGGGATTCGAGGCAGACCAGTGGGCCTGGGGAATCTTCAAGGCCCCGAGGACCGTCTCTGGGAATAGTGAGGACGGGGTCTCAGCAACAGGATCATCAGGGGACCCCTCGGGAGTCTGTTCCTCGGGGACCTGTTGACGTGGTCGACCTCGAGGATGGGAGCCTGCCACCGGGGCCTGCTAATCCCGAGGGATGCTCTCGGTGCCACTCAGTGCTCAGCATCGTCGACAAATACCGGGCATATGTCGACTTAAGCAATGGCTTGAGGGCTCTTGAGGCTATGGCCTTGAAGGTAAGCTCGTCGGTTGTTTTATATTATTTTTGTTATCTTGACGTCCCGAGGTTAACCATGCTCCATTTTGCAGACACTGGGAATAGCTCGGGGCCTTTCCTTGAAGGAAAAGGACGAGTCTTCACGAATGGCCGACCTCGAGGGGGCCGTTTCTGCTCGGGATCTAAGGATTGCCGACCTCGAGGAGGAGCGCGCTCGGCTATTGAGGGAGCTTGAGCATATGCGAGATGATCTACGCAGTGCTCAGGGCGAGGCCGGTACTGCGAAGGCTGAGGCTGAGCACTCCAAGCTCGAGCTCGATCAGCTTAAAAACGATTTTGATGCGAAGCTGGCCAATGCTCGAGAGGGAGCGGTCGAGGACTTCAAGAAGTCTGACGCCTTCAACGAGTTAAAGGGTGATTATGCTATGGGCTCTTACTTTCATGCCCTGAAGGAAGCTCGAGCTTTCATGCGCCTGAGGCCGGATGCTCGCCCTGAGGATCTGAAGTCAATCCCCGAGGTGGGTGATGACCTTCATCTTTCAGAGTCCGAAGAAAACGCTGGGGATGAAGACGTCGATATCGACGGCGATGATGCCGAGGAAGGCCAAGGCAGTCAGGACACCGACGCCTAAATTTACTGAGCCCATCCAGTATCGTTATTTTTTGTAATTGTAAAATGCCCGATCTTAATAGAGATTGTTTTTTTTCTTTTGACCGAGCTTATTTTGTATTATCGTCGTGTTCTATTTTCATATGCGCCGAACATTAATCAATACCTCGAGAAGGATTGATTATCTCGATCATAAAGACAATTAATTATCTCGACGATGAAGACAATTAATAGCTCGACGACTAAAGAGATCAATTATCACGACGACAATATTGAATTAATATCCCGACGAATAAAAATCATGACGATTGAAAAAACAAATCAATCTGATTTTTAAACAAGTCTTAATGCCGGGGACAATAGCGAATAGTTCAACACCTTGATGGTAATTTTGTCTCGACGTTTATATTGAATTATCTTGAAGACTAATCACGATGGGCGGTTACCTCGGGGTATTCGAAGAATTGTGACCGACCTCTGTGAGTAGTTTATCCCGAGCTCTTATTTTTCAGCTTTGGACCAAAATACAAGGATATATGGTCGGGATGTATGTCCTCGGGATTTATACTTGTGCTGCACTATTGTACTGATTATGAGCTCCAGGATTTTAGTGCTTGCTCGAGGGCAAGGCTTACATGCTTGCTCGAGGGCAAGGCTTAGAGGGCTTGCTAGAGGGCAAGGCTTAAATTGGCTTGCTCGAGGGCAAGGCTTAGATTGGCTCGCCAAAGACAAGGCTTAAAGGGGCTTGCTTCGAGGGCAAGGCTTAGATTGGCTTGCCAAAGACAAGGCTTAGAGGGGGCTTGCTCGAGGGCAAGGTTTAAAGAGGGCTTGCTCGAGGGCAAGGCTTAGATTGGCTTGCCAAAGACAAGGCTTAAAGGGGGCTTGCTCGAGGGCAAGGCTTAAATTGGCTTGCCAAAGACAAGGCTTAAAGGGGGCTTGCTCGAGGGCAAGGCTTAGAGGGGCTGTTATACCCGCGGTTTGGATTTATTAATTGTTTGGACTGGACTTGGATTTATATTGCATCCAAGCTGCCTACGTACCCAAACGGGATCAAGCCGAACGTAGTTCATTACAAAAGAGAATAGAAAACATGCATGGGCACGCAGGCCCGCTAAACTAGAAATAAAATGCAGAAAAAGAAAATCTCCTCAAAGGCGTCGGGAATTTTACTTGTAATATATTTTCAGATTGTCGGCATTCCAGGGCCTCGGAAGAGGTCTACCCGAAGTGTCTCTTAGGCTGTATGCTCCTTTGCGAACTTGTCGTATGACCTCAAAGGGCCCTTCCCAGACGGGCCCGAGCTTCCTTGGGGGGTGGCCTGCTGCTTCGGCCCTCCTCAAGACCAAATCGCCCACTCTGAACCTCCGAGCCTTGACTTTGCGATTAAAATGTTTTGCTGTCTTTGCTTGGTAAGAGGCCACTTTTATAGCGGCTTGC